CTAATATTCTGTGTTTCTGTGATTCTGTGAAGTATAGAGAGCCTATGTCAAAGATCAGCCCCCTCTATCTTATTCTTGTCCTGAATATTTGCTATGTAATGTCTGTATTTAAGGTGTATGCAAGGTTACATCCCAGCATATACTGCTGGCTGTGTTTCTGTAATTAACAAATGTTTTTTCTTTCAAGCAGGGACTCATTAGCAGAGTGACAGAATCGGTGAAAAACATCGTACCGGGATGGTTACAGAAGTATTTCAATAAAAGTGAAGATGAATGTGTAGATACAAATGAATCTACAAACCAGGAAGAGAGTCCAGTAAACTATCACCATGATTATGCAAATGAAGATGCCATAGTGATTGATGGGAGAGTCACGCCTGAATCACCAAGAATTAATTTAGAAGGTATGTGAAAAATCATTTAGTATTCTAGCCATCTGTATTTATTCACAGATTTCTAGTTTTGAATCTAAATTTCTAAGGAAAGCTGGAAGAAGCGTTTTGACAGAATTAAAAAAAAAAGAAAAATCCTGACACAAAACAAACCCAAAAGACCCCAAAACCAAACAAAAAAACCCCAACAACTGTTTGTGAAACTGTCTTAGATTTAAACTGTAAACATTATTGCGAAACATACTGGCGATTGTCTTACAGCTCTTGGAAGTCATTGGTTAACTCTAGATAGTCAATTAGCCAGGTGCAAAATATTGATAACATTCATTTGCAAGTGTGCTGGGTTACATTTTCTTTTTAAAAGACCTGGAATGAAAGTCTTCTCTAATTGCCCAAGGTAGTAAAAACATTAATTTGTTTCGTGGTCCTCAGTACAAAAGACCAGATGTTAGTAGGCCAGAGGAAAATTCCTTCTCATGTCCTGATTTTTTATTTCTTTTTTCTTTGGGCTTCTTCAATCAATTTAGTAAAGTTCCTTGTTAGTTTAATGGAGAACTGGGGATCTTGGTTTATGGCATTATTATTTTTGAAATATTTGGTAACATTAAGGTGTGCATGGCTAGTGTAGAGTCTTTGAAAACCTATTTGAATCCTTGGCAAAGTGGTATGCAACACCTTACTTTATCGTACAAAAGACTGTTTTATATCTGTGCCTCTCAGTGTTTGTGTAGTTCTCATCTATGAATTTGCATATAGCCTCATTTGAGTTTCTCTTAAATTAGCAGTTTCGTGGAACTCAATATTTTAATAAGGAGAGAAATTTTATCTGAACATATGTACATAACCATCTGTGTGGAAAGTCAGTTGCTTCTTTTGTTGGCAGAATGAAAAATAACGAGGAAATACCTTTGTCACCAATGTCATCTGATTATAAATAAAGAGCTTTATTGCTTTCTGCATAGCTGTAGCTTGAGAATAAGTTTGGATAAAGGAATAGAGAAAGTCTTCATGAATGAGGAACACGTGTTGGCTTTCCTGAAGACCTGTGTGAAAGGACCTTTCACTAAGAACAGCTGCACAGAAAACTTTCTAGCTCCAAGAAATCAGGAGCAGATGGGCACCCTAGAACCTTTAGTAGCTTGTGTTGCAGTCTGTGGATGTTGTAGACCAGTCTTTCTTGCTATACTTAATGATAAGATTTTTTAATTATTATTACTATTATAATTTTAGAAACCCTGTTTCTTCAGCTCTGAGGTACTCATGTGCTAGAGCCCATATTCTTTTGCCTGGGCAGCCTTCAGCCTGATAACACTTTCTTTATCTCAAGCAAGACAGTACTAAAAATCTACCAGTGCTTTTGAGAACTAATTACTAGGACTGCAGTGGTTTTGAAGATTGAACTAGTGTAAGCTTCTGTGCAAGTATCAAGAGAATAGTGACTCAAAATCATGTTCGTACCCAGAATTCCTGGAGAATGTGGATATCAGGCAAGATACGCATGAATAGCTGCTCTGTTCATGTGGCAAGTTGGAGCTATGAGACCATCTTGCAGGACACTGACAGTGTTTACAAACCCTTTGGTTCATGAGGAAAAATGCCCATCTTGCAACTGAGGCCACGATGCTTGCTTGTCCTTTGTGCCGAAATCTCAAAAGTTAATGGATAGGCGATAATGTTTTGCCTGATTTGATATGGTGGAATTTGGGAGGGGGGGTGACCAGACTTTCATGCTATGTGTTCAGATTAACGTATCTTTGTTACAAGATTATATATGTGTGTGTGTGTATATATATATATGTGCAGAGTTACCTGTAACTTGCCATGTAATCTCAAATTTTGGAAAGCTTATTGCAAGCCTTATCTGCAGAAGAAGGAATTTATACACATACGATTTAGTGAAAGACCAAGTGTTTGAGCACCTGAGCATGGGGTCAGAATTTGATGTTGCGAAACATCATCATTCACTACTTGTCGATGTGACATTAATACTTAGTATTGCAAGCAGTGTTGCTGCTGTAATCAAACAGTTCGATGAAACCCTATCTGGGTGAGGAAGAAGTTAAATTTGGCTTCTCTATTTTTGTGCTTAGAACTTGGCAATAGAGTGACTGTTGGTAGAAAACGGGTTTTGGCTTCTGTGAGCTTGCCTGTAGGAAAGCAGATTGTCTCCCTGTTCTTGTTTAGAGCCATCCACAAGTCGATCTGCGTTGAACTTCTCGGATGTGTTAACAAGGCCCTCTCTTCACCGGAGCCATTTGAACTGTGCCATGTTGGATTCCACAGTACCGCATTGTCAGCCCTCTACATCATCTTCACTTGGCATTGGCAGTCCTGGACTGTCTCTTGTAAAAGAAATAAAAGATTCTACCTCTCAGCACGATGATGATAACATCTCAACAACCAGTGGCTTCTCCTCTAGAGCATCTGATAAAGGTAACTTTCATGTCCTCTAACTGATTTTTTTTTTGGTAACAGGAAGTACTTTGCATTCTTTAATATTTCGCATCACCTTAATAAATAAAGTAGGTGAATATAATTTTTGAATGCTAGAATTAAATTTAATTTTTAATATTTTAGAAGTATATAAAGCTGTCACCTTTTTAATGTTGGGTTGGCCAAAAAGTAATGGCATTTTTTTAAATAGATGGGCATACATGTTTTGAAATGTTGCTATCTTCATTTTAAACTGCAGATTCATTACGTAACTTGACTGCTGACAATTCAAGCTTGTTTTAGAAAAAGAAAGTGCATGATTTCGTTAACACTTATTTTGTGTCGATTTCAAAGTGGAAAATCAAAAGGAACATTTTTGTCATATTTTGCTGTATTACCTACGAAAAGGAAAAAATGCTGTGCAAGCTCATAAAAAGTTCTGTGATGTGTATGGTGAAGATGCCTTAAAACTACGGCAGTGTCAGAATTGGTTTGCTAGATTTTGGTCTGGAGTTTTTGATGTTAAAAATGCACCACGCTCAGGAAGGCCAATCGAAGGTGATGACAACAAAATAAAGGCATTGATCGAATACAGTCAGCGTTTAGCAACATGAGAGATGAAACATATTGAACATATCTTAACATATCGAAATCAAGCATTGAAAACTAAAACAACTTAGATATGTTAGGAAGCTTGGTATCTGGGCACCACATGTGCTCGAAGGAATTCATCTCACTAAGCACATTGACATCTGCAATTCTCTCTTGAAATGTGAAGTAAACAATCCATTTATGCAACATACAATAACAGGTGATGACAAATGGATCATCTACAACAATGATGAATGAAAAAGGTCCTGGAGGAAGCGTGATGAACCAGTTTAAAGCACTTCCAAAGCTTCCAGATGTTCACGAAAGGAAGGTGATGCTGTCAGCCTGGTGGGATTTCAAAGGCATTGTGTATTTTGCATTGCTTCCAAGGAGCCAAACTATTAATTCAGACATGTGCTGTTATGAACTGGATAAAGGAAGTGCCATCAATCAGAAGCGTCCAGAATTGGTGAATCAGAGGTGCTGTGTTTCACCACAATAACGCTAAACCACATAAAAGTTTGGTTACTCATTGAAAATGGTTACGGCTTGGATGGGATGTGTTTCCACATCCACCATGTTCACCAGACCTGGCACCATCAGACTGCCATTTGTTTGGTTCTTTACAAAACACCTTGAATGGAAAAACCATCTCTGCTGATGAGGATATCAAATCATTCTTGGAACTGGTTTTTGATGAAAATGATAAGAACTTTTCTAAGCGTGAAATCATGAAGTTGCCTGAAAGATGGCAAAAGGCAATTGAACAAAATGGACAATATATTGTTTGATACACTTTTTGATTTCCATTAAAAAGTCATCTGTCATTTACTCAGAAAAAAATATGCAATTACTTTTTGGCCAACTCAATATAACCATGCTTTGGAATACATTTATGGTACCCTGATGTTACAAAGAGTCGGTGCTGGTAAACGCACTTTTAGCTAGGTCATCTGTAAATCCTGAATTGTGATAGTAGGAACCAAAAATGATTCACTGTAGCTTGACAGATAGTTTGATTGCCTAGAATGAAGAGTGACCCAGAATATGTAACTGACAGCTGGTTAAATGTGAATAAATAAAGGTGACAAAGAAACACAAGATGTTTTCCTGTGTTTTCATGAGGAGTCAGTAAAGGACCTATTCTGACTGAACAAGTTTGAGGCTAACTTTTTGGCCTTTTTTGGTAGAAGGCATCAGTTGTCAATATTGCCAAGTCTTTTGCTGAATTCAGTGAGGAATGTACACCATTTAAGAGTTAAACAAATAAACAATGTATTGTTGTAAATGGGGACCTAGGTGATCTAACTGAGAAAGGGCAAAGAGCAGGTTTGCAGCTTCTAGTCCCCCGTGTGAATAGGGATTGAGGCATGCTCAGCAAGTTCTCTAGAGAACGCAATTTTAGAATTCAAGCTAGATGTTGCCAGCATTTAGCAATATAACCTGAATTTACTAGAGATTTCTGGTTTGTCTCCATGAAACACATATGGCAATTAGGTCATTCACTCTATTAGTACAGCCTTTGGGGAATTTTTCAAGTTTAAAACCGGTGCAATTCTGGCCTATGCTGGCTTCCAACCCTTTACCAACATAGGAAAAGCTTTGTATCATTATAGGTGCACCACTGTTAATGAAGTTGCCTTTTATTTTACCTTGAAAAAAGAAAAAATAAAATTTGCTCTGCATTGGAAGCATACTAATAACTTGTGCATGCTTTTGAAAGATTACTGAAAGGTAGTGTATTTGCAATTCTGTGAACAGATGTCAGGTTCAGAGTTGATACTTGGTTTTCATGCCATGTGTGAAATTGGCCCGTTTGAAGAACTCTGAAAGTTAGAGTGCTGGGGAAATGAGTGTTATGGGACTTCTTCCATTTTTAGTGTCATCTTTAATATTAAAGTTCTCTATGCACACAAGGCATTTATGTATAGCGTGTATTGTTTTGGCAGATATCACAGTTTCAAAAAATACTTCCGCACCACTGCTCTGGTCCGCGGAGGCCGAAAGATCTCATTCCCTCTCACAGCATCCTGCAGCTAGCTCTAAAAAACCTGCGTTCAATTTATCTGCTTTTGGATCTCCCTCTCCTGTGAGTATTGCAGAGTATTAATTTTAATCAATTTGAATGTGTAGCCATTTTATTAACTACTTATCATAATATCTTTCTGTAGTCACTTGGAAACACTTCTATCTTTAAGACAAGTCAGCTCGGGGATTCTCCATTTTACCCTGGAAAGACCACTTATGGTGGTGCAGCTGCAGCAGCAAGGGAGACAAAAGCACGAATTGCTCCTTATCAGGTATGGCAATAGTAGTGTGGTGCGAGGGGAAAATGTAATTGAAATACGGAAGGGGTAGCACTGCCAAAAGAGCTGTGAGCAGGGAGCTGAAAATGTGGCAGCAGTTCCTGTTTTGCCCTCCCAAGCCTCCCAGAGTAGAAAAAAAAAATTTCTGTTTAAATTCTTTTCTTAACAGTTTATTTAGAAATACTTGTCATAATGCACAGAAATGACAGTAGCATCTTAGGTTCTGGCTAGGTGTTTGTAGTTGGGATTTCCTCTGTTCATAAGTCTTTAAAACAACATCTTTTTTTTGCCATTCTCTACCTCTGACTGTGTTATGTTAAAATAGCAAGTAAATAAATAATGATGGCATAACTTTGAAAACGTGTTTATAGTAGTAAAAGCGACCTGTGTGATACTTGCCTGTAGATCTTACCTTACACAAGCATGCCTACGCTCAGTCTATGAAGTTATTTTATAGAAGTGTGCACTCTTTACTATAGTAGTTATCTAAAAGGCAGCCTTGCTGATCCTTTGCTCTGCTGTTACCTAGAGGGAGGCATGCAGTCCCAAATGCAGTCTCAAGATAAACAATAAAATGCTTTCTATTATATCATTCAGATAGCTCTTGAAAAGAGTTACTTGCCCCTAAGAGTTCTTTGTATTCTAAAATGAAACGGCGAATTAAAAATGCTGACAGCTCTCACTAGCTACAGGTGAAGCTAGAAGGAAGTCAGTAACATCTGGTTCAGTTGGAATGTGTTTAAATCAAAATGAGCTTTATTAAAATAAATAATCAGAAGTCAAAAGGAACTTTATTTAAGGAGTGTTTAAGGAAATAAGGGTTTGCTGGACTTATTCTGGCACTCCGTTTTACCATGGAACAAGGGGACCTACAAGGTCCGGACTTTGGGGAAACCTTGAAAACTTGTGGTTTGTTCTCTCTTGGTGTTAAATCAAACTTAACTCTCAAAACTTCCCATAAGCTAGGAGTCCTCTTTGCTATTTTGGTTTTTTTACAAAATAAATGTGGATTATGTTGAAAAGAGGAACCAAAAAACTAGGCTTTTAAAGGAGATACTAGCTTGTTTGTTGCTGCATGCTGTGGATTACAGCAACTCCTACTTGTGTTTTTTACATGCTGTATGGTCTGCTTCCTGTCTTCACATAGCAGCGCGATAAGCATCATGTGATCACGTGGGGAGCTTAACATTAAAAAAAAAGTCATACTGAAGTTTTTTTGGATTATATACGAAGTCATGTGGGTCAAATAAAAGAGTTTACTTTTTCAGTGTAATATGTCTAGCTCTGTTACAGTTCAAATGAGATAATTATCTTTTTCAACAGAGTAAAGAGATAGGCAGTCAACTGTAATCTCGGGGAAGGGAGGGAGTGAGAGAAGTGGCGATTGTATATGTGGGTTTTAAGATGGTACACTTAAACCATCACGAAACCCTGAGATCTGTTTTGTTACCTAAAGTACTTTCTGCAGCACAAGCCTTTGCTTCAGTTCTGTTTTCCTGATTACTGCTTCAGAGATCCTACAGGCCTAACATATTCCCTTTTATGACCTTTTACGTTTAGGTATTTCTTTTGTTGCTTTATCCTGTGTGCAAGATGCCTGGGGCCTCACTTAAACTTCTGTTAAGTCGGTAGAGTATATTTTTTCTTCATGGCTTGAATGCCCAGTGCCCATTTTTCTCTGTCATCACAGGAATACTGTTTATGATATCAGTGTAGCGATAGGGCATAAAATACATGCATGTTTAATTCAAAATCAAGCATCGTAACATTTGCAATGCTTATTTTTCAGCCACCAGTAAGAAGACAAATGAAAGCTAAACAAGCAAGTGTGCAGTCCTATGGTGTGACAAGTTCCACAGCACGACGCATCTTGCAGTCATTGGAGAAGATGTCAAGTCCTTTGGCGGTAAATGGCACTCCTCTCTCTGTTTTATTGCATGTGTTGGGAAATCATAGTAAATGTGGCGGTGTAGAATGAAGATCTTCCTTATGTAGTGTCCAGTTTAATTTATTGCACTGTTTTTTTCAACAGGATGCTAAAAGGATTCCGTCTTCTGCTTCTAGTCCACTGTCTTCTGTAAGTTGATCACAAAACCCCCACATTTTTGTTGGATGGAACCCTCTCAGAAAAAAATTGTTCTCTAATATTTTGGCATTTTTTCCCTTTTAGCCTGTCGACAGGAGCGTGCTGAATATTACTAGCTTCCAGTCCAAACGAAAACAGGTAAGAACCAGTAACATCTTAAGCTGAGACAGATTGGAAGAAATGTCACAAACCTCAATGACCGCATACACACGAATTCAAGTTAATATTAACATTATGTGCTTTATAGCTGTCTTGACTGTGTGGAAATTGCTAAAACTGTGTTTTCTGCCCACACTCGATGAAGGACTGTGAAGATTAGCCAGGTTAAAAATTCTGTTTTCTTTAACGTGGTGTCTTGATACATTGATAAAGAACAACTCCTGTAGAACACACAAAGTAGTTTTATCTTGTCCTGCAACTTGGGGTTAAGTTGCATGTTAACCTTTCTGTTTAGGAAAGTTTTCTCTTGCAGAAATGATCAGAAATAGAAAAATACTGATGGAGTGATCATACAGACCTTGTGCAGATTTCCGTGTTCATTTCGAGCGGAAAAATACTACTTACGTTTTTTATTACTGCTTAAACTAAGTCAAAGGAAAATTATTGAATGTTGTCACTTCTGTAACCTTATATTCCTAAATTTCTATTTGGAGGTGGCACTGAATTGGTGGTAATGCTGTACTATTTCCTTCTTTTTTGTTAAAAAAAAAAAATCATTACAACTAGTAATTTTTTAAATCACTTTAATTTGGGTATCACTGAATATATTAACTTGTAAAACCCACAAAAGGCCACTTTAAGATCAGGCAACCAAAAGAACAAAAATGTGGTTTTTCTTCCATGCAAAATTTTCATCTGCTGTTTTAATGAGAAAACAGACAGAATGTCTCAAGAAGTTCCTAGGCTGATACCTTGATTAGAAGTATAATTAATTCTACAGTCAGTTCAGAGTTTACAGACATCTTGGATTTCCTGTACCATTTCGCGTTATTCTAAATAACAAGAATGTTGAAAACTAGAGCATATAATTCTTTTACCATAAATATTATCCAAATAATTAAAAACAAAGCTGGTATGTATTCTCAGTTGACTTGTGGAACTACACCTGTGATGAGGCATTAAGAAAGCTCTACGGGATTTGCCGCATAGAGCCTGACGTCAGTCAGAAAACGAATGTTGCACACAGCTGTCGCTGGGTAAAAGCAGAGAAACTGTCTGTTCATAATATTAGAGTTCATAAAGTTTGGCAGGGGAAGGGTAGCCCTTGATGAGAAAGGGAGGCGAGGGTTGTGTTTTCCTGCTAAAGCAAACATATGGTTGAAAGAACACTTGACCACTTGGGCAAAAGTTTTGCAGGTATTTTTTGTGGTATTTTTCTGGTTGAATGCACCATTAGCAAGTTTGCTGGTGATACTAAACTGGAAGGTGCTGTTGACTCTCGAGAGACAGGAGGCCTTGCAGAGGGATCTAGATAGGTTGCAGCATTGGGCAATCATCAGTGGCATAAAACTGAACAAGAACAAATAACACATCTTCATCAGTGGCATAGGCAGTGGAATCAAGTGCATCCTCATCAAATTTGTGGATGATGCCAAGCTGAGTGGTGTGGTTGACATGCCAGAGGGATGAGATACCATCCAGAGGGGCCTGGACAAACTCAGTAAGTGGACTCATGTGAACCTTATAAAGTACAGTAAGGTCAAGTGCAAGGTCCTGCACCTGAGTCAGGGCAACCCCTAGTATCAGTACAGGCTGGGGGATGAAGGGATTGAGAGCAGCCCTGTGGAGAGCACTTGGTTATGGTGGTGGATGAGAAGCTGGATATGAGCTGGCAAAGCGCACTCACAGCCCAGAAAGCCAATCATATCCTGGGCTGCATCAAAAGAAGTGTGGCAAGCAAGCCAAGGGAGGTGATTCTCCCCCTGTATTCCACTCTGGTGAGACTTCACCTGGAGCACTGCATCCAGCTCTGGAGTCCTCAGCGGAGAAAAGACATGGACCTATTAGAGTGGGTCCGGAGGAGGGCCACAGAAATGATCAGAGGGCGAAAGTCCTCTCCTGTGAGGAAAGGCTGAGAGAGGGTTGTTTCAGCCTGGAGAAGAGAAAGGTCTGGAGAGGCCTTATTGTGGCCTTTCAATACTTAAGAGGGCCTTACAAGAAAGATGGTGACAGACTTTTTAGTAGGGCCTGTAGAGACAGGACAAGGGGTAATGGTTTTAAACTAAAAGAGGGTAGATTCAGACTGGATATAAGGAAGAAATTTTTTACTATGACGGGTGGTGAAACACTGGAGCAGTTTGCCTGGAGAGACGGTAGATGCCCCATCCCTGGATACATTCAAGGTCAGGTTGGACAGGGCTCTGAGCAACCTCATCTAGTTGAAGACATCCCTGCTCACTTAAGAGGATATAGACTAGATGACCTTCAAAGATCTCTTCCAACACAAAGTACTCTATGATTCTGCACCTGCGATAGAGTAGCACTGGACATGAGTATAAACTGGGAGATGAGTGGCTGGAGAGCAGCCCTGCAGAAGCGGATCTGGGTGTGCTGGTTGACAGCAGACTCAATATGAGTCAGCAGTGTGCCCTGGCAGCCCAGAGGGCAAACCACATCCTGGAGTGCATCAAACGCAGCATAAACACCTGGTCAAAAGAGGTGATTATCCTGCCATATTCAGCATTGGTGTGGCCTCACCTTGAGTACTGTGTGCAGTTCTGTACCTCACAATTTGAAAAGGAGGTGAAGGTCCTTAAATGTATCCAGAGGAGGGCAACAAAGCTGCAAGACATGTCCTCTGAGGAGTGGCTGAGGACACTGGCTTTGTCTAGTTTGGAGAGGAGCAGGCTGAGGGGTGACTTCATTGCTCTCTGCAGAGGAGAAGCGAAGAGGGAGGTGCTGATCTCTTCTCCCTGGATCCAGTGACAGGATGAATGACTCAAAGCTGCATCTGTCAGGGGAGGTTCAGACTTAACAGTAGGAGACATTTCTTTAGTGAGAGAGTGCTCAAACGCTGGAACAGGCTTCCTAGAGGGTGGTTGATGTCTCATGCCTGTCAGTGTTTAAGAGGCATTTGGAAAATGCTCTTAATACCATGCTTTAACTTGGTCAGCCTTGAATTGGTCAGGTGGTTGGATTAGATGGTTATTGTAGGTCCCTTCCAACTGGACTATTTTATTCCGATTCTGTTCTATTTGCTTTTTATAACAGCAGTGAACCATCCTTCACTCAAAAAAGTTTGTGACCTTAAATAAGGACATTTTACTCAAGATTTCAAAATGAGTATAACGATTTTTAGAAAGAAGTACTTTTATTCACTTATAGATAGTACAGCATCAATTTTATTACCAAAGAGCTGGGAGATACTGTGAATTTAAAGCTGCATTGTAAACACAGATTTCTGTTGATGCTATTGTAAATAACATTTAAGTAAAGTCTGATTCTTCTGATCCTTAAAACTGCAGATGAATCCTTTGGTAAATCTTGTAGCTTTTTTGAGTCTTTCTTGTTCACAATTCAGTTAAGTCAGTTTTGCAGAATGTACACTGCTTTCTGTTAAAAATTAACTCTTTTCTGTGAAAATGCTTTGACAAGGAAAGTCAAACCAGTACTTTTAAATGCATCTAATGCAAATATAAAATATTAGAACATATTTTAATGAATTAGAGTATTTTAAAGTTACTTTGCAACTTTTTTTTTTGAAAGTGTAACATCAAAGGAGGAAAATGTAAGAAGAATGAAACCCAGAAGCTAGCTTAACACTTTGAATGTTAAATTAATGGATTAAGCCAGTAAAAAAAAAAATCAATGTGGGTAAAGGAGAGGAAGAGATGGGAACATGTTATAGTAACATGAGTTATTTTGATTATAGTGACATGAATTATTTTGTCTGTGAAGTTAACTGCCAAATTTTGAAATAGGATTCAGTCAGACTTTGGCTACTTCTGTAGCTTTTTGGATTTCATAACTGGTTTTCTGGTGATTTCCCTCTGCAAGCTAAATGCTTTCAACACTTCAAAATAATTTTCTCTGGGTGCTGAGGCTGATGGGAAGTTTATAGTTCTGTAGCTTTTTTCATCAGTAAATGCTGTGGTAATTTGGTTGAGTGCAAGGATAAATTGATTTCTGTTTCTCTTTCAAAGATGGAGTCGCAGCATCCACCTGTCCAGAAACTTGTGATGCCAAAGGCAATCTCTCTGTCACTGGGTCGGACCCAGTATTTTAAACCATCTCTGACTCCAGCTACTGATTCTAGCAAAATTCACCAGAGGGTAGGTATAAAGCACAAAGTAAGTAAATTTTCTGGGTCTTATCCACCTGCTTTTTACAAGCTTGGATGTGTCTAACCGTTTATTCTACTAAAGTGCTCTTTCTTGGCAAAGAGAACCAGTTGTGTTTGAGGTAAGCATTAAGACAGTGGGAGCCGTTGTGGAAGAGATACTCTGAGGTTTTATGGATTTAATTGTATTTTTGGAACAGTAAGTGGCTGGTGGTTATTTTCACAACGTGATGATGTCCTATTGGGTTGGGCTGTTCTCAGTGAATGTTAAAATACAGAAACATTTTCCTTCTATATGCTCCTGAACACAAAGCTGTTGCTCATGGAACATGCTGATGCTGTGTATAAACTCCTTCAGGTGAGCCACTGGCTCTAAGCAAGATTTCTGACAATAAGCTTAATTACTCATGCTGATCACTTTGGTGTAGATGGAGTCCCTGTTAAATTTTACTTAAGGATTGGCATCTGTTTCAGGAAAAAACCTCCTGTAGTTCCAGTATCGGTCTGAATGTGAAAATGATCAGATGTTTAATGGATGGGCTTTTGTGGCCAGAGATCAAAGTGAATAGTCATAATGGTTAGGGAACATGCCTAAGAAGACAAGGTATATTTAGTGGTCTAAATAAAATAGCCCAACACAAAACATCAGTGGTTGGTTGTCTTCTCTTTGTGGATAGTATATTAACACATTCAGATAAATCCTGAAATAAATTAAACTTAACTTGCAGGGCATGAGAGAGAAGAGTTTTACTGCAGAACAACGAGTAAAACCATCGGAAAGGTAGGACAAATCTATTAATTTAAAACACTTGAAAGAATAAAGCTTTCTCCTTTGTCACTACAGTCTGCATGTCTGTCTGCTTGGAAGGGCAGTAACAGTTCTCAGTATAAATGGAAAGGAAAATACAGTGAAAAAATTGTATTATGGGAGAGTTTAATCATTTGTACATCTTGATGTTCATGGGGGGGGCAGCTGTTAGTTTCAGCTCTTTATTTGCTTGTTTGGAGTCTGAAAGTTTTGCCCTAAAGGAATTATTCTTTCTGAAAGACTCTTTGTAGGTGAAGTGGCTTACAGTTCAGGTGTATATTTAGTTTTTTAATTTTTTTTAAGAAAGCAAAAACCTGGAGGAAGATAATTTTCTAATGCTCCTTTCATGGAGAAGTCACTTGTCTGCTCTGTGAGTTTGCATGAAACACAGAAACCCTTTAGAATCATCTGGGGCCAAATGCCAGCTTGTCTCTAAAACACAGAATTCCAAGAGAGTTAATAATTGCATTTCTTCTTGAGGAGATTGTCTTACGTTACACTGCTTGCTTGGTTCAGGTAGAATTACATCACCTCCAGGTAATATTGATGGCTCTTCTTTCTGGGCAACCGGTCTTTTGGGTAATGCTTGAATTAAGACACTTTTGCATTCATTCAAAGGTTAAATTCTTTGGAGGATTCCTCCTTTCAAAGAGCAGTAACAGGGAACTGTATTTTGTTGTCTCTGTTCATCTTCCAAGTAATTCTTATCTTGCCTTGGGCATTCTTTGGCTTGCAAAAGAAACTCCAAAACCAACCCTTTGTTTTGGCATCTAATAGTCTGATTTCACAGCAACAGCCTTTTCAGGGGTGTAAGAAGTTGGCTCTTAGGTTTTGGCATAGGTGCAAACAGATGTTAGGTTTTAATTGTGGGTTTTCAAACTGTTCTAAATTTTCTGTAGTTTAACTCCTTTCTTCTCCTCCATGGAGAAGGGAGTTCCAGAAAACAGATTTTTATCTGGCTCACAAGTTTTACAGCTATGTTCCCCTTTTGTCTGTAGGGTAGATGGTCCTTTTTAAAAAATTATTTTATAAAGCCAGTTTCTCTTGGGTGCCAAGTTCTGGAGAAGAAACACAACCCTGATAAGGGGCAGCTGACCAGGGTCTCTTTGTGCAGTTAAGCTGTAGTACTTGGGTACATCTCTGGTCAGCCTATTTAGTTTTTAAACCTGGGTCAGAACTGCAGATTGGACTCGAAGATAGATTGGACTTGATTGCTTGAAGATAGAAAACTGTCTTTGCCCCTTAGAAGCTGACAGGTGTTAACAGAAAAAAGGAATATGGGTTATTATAGGCAGTCTATAATGGTCTGAATAAAGCTCTATTTTGACATAAGTTTTTTTTCAGAATTCAAATTGATTGTCAGTTTGGATTAGAGAAAAGTTTGAGCATATGGCTTTAAGAATCTGGCTTCCTCTCAGTGGTTGCAGTGCTAAGCTGACTGCAAGTTCTGACAAGTTTAAACCCATTCTCTTCCTCAGTCTTCTGGAGACTTGACCTGGTGTCTTCCAGTGTGATCAAATGTACTTTTGTAATGACTAACTGCTTGGCTGCAGGCTAAGCTTTGATATGGTAATTTTTTCCAGGGTTCCTTCATCCTGATGCCATACTGCTTTTTTACTGTTACTCCCTAGTTTGCTTCTGTTTCGGGGTGTGATGTGGGTTTTGGGGGATTGTTTTTGTTTGTTTAGATTTTTTTTGTTGGTTTTTCTTTTCCCTCCCCTCTTGGGTTAGCAAATCTTTCTGGTTTGGACCTAGGCTTTTGTAATGAACAGAGAAATGCCTTTGTATGCCTTACAAAAGGGATCTGTGTTCATGTCTGAAAAGACTTCTGGAATGTTGGCACACCCAAACACCTCTGCTGCTTCTGCTGATGGTCCTGGGAAAGCCAGAGCTGCTTCTGAAGCTTTTGCCATATTATCTTGCATACAAATTTAAGCCTCTCTGTTCCGTAAAAACTGTTGGCAGCGTTTCGTGTGTGCGCGCGCACACGCGTGCGCTCTCTCTTCATATATATTTTTAGTTGTTCTTTTATATCCCTGCAAAGATACATTCTCATCACAGAATCAGAGAACTGGCAGTCAAAATTTCCACTGTCTGCACTATTAAAAGGAAACATTAGAAAATAGCAATCTAAATCAGTTCTTCTATTTCAGGTCTTCTGGCTTAGTCATCATTCCTTTATGGATGTTGTGACTGTTTCTTGTGGGTGTCCTTGTCGTTGCTGCTCTTATTAACGCAGCTTTTGGTGTTTAGAACATCAGCTATTTACCAGCATTTAGCAACTTGTGCAAGTTTTTCTGATTCCAGTTAGAAGGTGTTAGTTCTAGGACTAACAGTGGCTATAAATAGCTTGAAACAATTAGTTGATAAGTTGATTTTTTAGTTTTCCTTATTTTTTTTTCCTCCCTTCCTCAACATGTGTATTGTTATTCTGTGGCAGCAATTTGACCTACCCTAAATTCAGTACTCCTGCATCCAATGGCCTCTCTTCAGAAGGAGGAGTGAGTGGTGGTGGCAAGATGAGCAGGGTAAGAGGCGTGCACTATATATCAAAACCTGGACAAGAACAACAGGTAAGGGACTCTCAGGTTAATTGCTGTCACTGAGATTACTGAAGCTAAGCATGCCAGTATTATTACCTCATAGGAATTTATAATAATGCCACTTCAGTTTTGTTGGTTTTTGCTGTGGATTTCAGGGCAGGCTCCAATTAATTTTTCTGTTTAAGTGCCTCAACTCTGGTTTTATATTTTTGAACTTTTTAGTCATATTATCTTGGAGATGCTACATACTAGAAAGTTTCTTATTACCAGTTGAAAGAACGAATTTTGGTGGAAGTTTGTAGAGTTTTTATAAAGGAATGATGTTTGAAACAAGTGCTAAGTAAGTAAATAATTTTTTTTAATTTGTTGTTTCATATTTAAGTAATGTAGAAAGATACAGGCCAAGAGTCTGAAGCAGAGGACAGTGTTCTGCATGTTTGCTAATGACCATTCACAGTTTTTGGCACTTAATTGAACTCATTATCAGGGTTTTTTTTCTTGTTTGAGTGGGAAAAGTTCATTTAGTAAAACTATGGTCATGACTATCTTGATTACTTTTCTGATTGATGTTATGTAAGCTGCCTACTACTGGATCTTAAAAATAAAAAAATCATATCAGTCTTTGGGCTGATGCAAAATAAAGAAATAGTAAATACTGGAGAGTGTTTATAATAATAATACAAATGGTCTGAATATCAAGGTCCAATAGACTTTTCAAATCAAAACTTTGGAAGATGTAGGTCATAGGATACATTGAATTTCTGCAATAGCAACTTAGATCTCTGCTTAGTCACTTCTGGGTAGAACTGGGTACTAATGTGCAAATTGTGATTAGATTGTCCTATTAAAACTCCTATCCTATTAAACATCCTATTTAACTAATCTAGTCTTGGTAATCAAATAATTTAAAAGGCAAGGATAAGACCAGAAATTTTTAAGGTACACTGGTTTTGGAGTTATAAATTTTCATCCTGATACATGACACAGTCTAGATTTACCAGAGTATGTTGTTCTGTGGTGTTCGTCAGGCTTGCTTTTTTGGTATTTTGTGCTCGGAGTTTTTTGGTACTCTAAGGAACTCACATACTTCTTTAGACATCGTATTTTTCCAAGTTCACTGCAGCAGTGACTTCAGAAACTTTGGCAGCTGTCCTACCTGATTTTGCAAGAGGAACACTTTCTTATTTGTCTTGAGAATGTACTCCTAGTTGGAGAGATGAGAGTATAATTACAAAGGGTTATGTTTCTCTAGATCTTTAAGAGCTAAAGAGTAGGAAACAAAAATAAATCTGATCTGTGTCCCTTTCTGTTCTGCACAGGTAACAATTTTGAGCTAACTTTCAGTTAGCTAACTGGACAGGTGATGAATGTAGTATGGCATGGAAACAGGCCTGCCATAAATTAAAATTACATGGCAGACTGAGGTGGGCAGGTCAGGATTCCTTTTGAAAACTTTCCTGGTCCTAATATGTAGATCTCTGTTATATTTAACTTTGCTAAGAAATTAAGAGTGGAACAGGGTAGGAAGGTAATATATCTGGTGAAAGAGAAAAACTAAAATTTACAACTTTTTTAAAGAAAAAGGAAAATTAAGATTTACAATAATTAAAATTTAAACCTAGGAAGTGGAGGAACCAGTACTACCAAAAGTCCCCCTACCCATCAGTACTGCATCGCTGCCTTCGTTCAACTTTAGTTTTCTTGCCAGTAGTACTGTTTCATCGTCACCAAGCACTGTTTCAACAGCAGTGATGAACAAGGTAAATCTTTATTGTATATTGTGAATACTTTTTTTGGATGAGTATGCATCTGCTTTCTTGCATGTTAACTTCTTCATAGTGCTCATGAAATCAACCAACATTAGTTTATATCCTGTTGAATAAATCAGAGTTGGATTCCGATTTGGTGGTGGGGGGAGGCATAAAGTTTTTGATTTGGCCTCTGTCCATCTTACACTTTGCAAACTTCTGGTTGATGTTAATTGTTATAACTGCTTCAAATACTATGGGGATTTTGTGGGGATTTTATGCCAAGTTAAGTTATCAAATTAGAAAGTAGCATTAGTGGCCATATAAGCCTAATGTACAATATGAGCCTAGGGTGCAATAAGTGAAACGTTGTTACCGTAAAATAAGCATTCATCTGTTCCAGAGTACTTGAAATATTTTTGCATGTTTTGAAGCAGATAGCAGCTTTAACATGTTGAGATATTTGCTGAAGCTCTGACTACAGATTGAACTGAGTTAGTTTAAGATTCTTATCTACCTGGTCTGTTTTTCCATATATTAAGTATATTTAGATCTAAGTAGCATCTCAGTTTTTAATTTTGGTTTATGGGATTTTGTTTTAACGATACTGTATTGTATACTTACTTGCAAGTTTCATTTTCGTTCATTATAACTCTTACTTGTGGTTTAGAAATAAATATCAAACATCGGTTTTCCTAACTCCACTGCAGAACATCTGCTGGAGAGTGAATTCAGATAGCTGCTGTTGTTTCACCAGGTTGTTTTTCTTTTAGATACAAACCTTAATTCTTTTGAAAATACAGGTACAACCAGCAAGTAATGTCGGAAGTCCTGTGTTCAAATTCTCATCTCCAATTGTGAAATCTACTGAGGCAGAAGTGCTACCTCCTTTGTCTGTAAGTAAAACAAATAAAGCTCAACCTTTTCTCAGGCTTTTAGTGAAATATTGCAGAATAAAGCAGAATTGGCCCAAATAACGGCGAAAACAAGTATATAGGTTTCTGGCTTATAGTTTGTCATCCAGCATGTATACCTAATGTTTGAAGACTGGATTTCAGATATTTATTTGTGTATGAAATTTTATTGAAGTTTCAGAATCTGAAAGGTCTCTTTTTTTCATAGCAGATCGGGTTTACATTTAGTGTTCCTGTTGTAAAAACAGCAGAGCTTTCTGGATCCAGTCATACACCAGTGACGTCCTTCCTTACTCCAGGTAACAGAAATTTTAGCATTTCAGATCTAAAATGCTGAGTTTCTTTTTGTCTATTAAATAGTAAATCTGTTGTTTCTGAGCGTATTAGCAATTCCAGGCAAAGTGTGTTTTCAGTGACAGATCTGCCTTTAACCAAATTGTAATTATAAACTGTTGTAAACAAGATAGAATTTTGAAGATTCTTACACGAGAAGCATGAAAATTGGAAATTCTTGCTTCTAGCAAATGTGAATAGATTTTAAGTGGATTTCTTTGTGAAAGGTGTTTTTTGTTCTGTTTTTAAAGATACCGCAACTGTAAACAGCACCAGCAATAAGAAGGAAGAAAAAGAATACGATGGCCTCTCCAAACCTGCGAAGGTCCTAAAGGAAGGAAGTGTGTTAGACATTCTAAAAAGCCCTGGTAAGATAATGAACTCCTTTTAAAAAGATACTGCAAATAATATGCTAGCATATAACTGCATTGATATAAAAAACCCCAGAAAACACCACCACAACAAAAACCCCATTTTGTCGTGGTTAATGGAATATTAGCTATAAATACAAACATAAGAGAGCATTATGTTAAAAGCTACACCTGTTAGGCTCTCTTCTTCTAAGTGGCTTTTATTGCTGAAGGGAAAGCTGCAACTTCAAACCAGATGCATTGGTTCTCCTTTATGTGTTAGGATGTAATTGTAGATGAAGTATAAAGCGAGTTAGTCAAATAATCAGTGTTTCATTTAAAATAAATACAATTTATGGAATCTGAAGGAAATGTTTGTAAAATGCGTTACAGATGTTCCTCTACCACCTTTACCATCTCTGGAAAGTAAGAATAGTAAAGACAGTTTCATTCCTAAAGGTGTTTCAAAAGCTGCAAATCTTTTGGCCTTTAATGTCAACAGTTATTGTGGATTCAAATGTAAATTTTAAGAAGTGGGATGTTTCGTTTTAAAACCCCTTTTCTAATTTTTATTTTTAAGCAATTGCAGTTGTTTTCAACTGTGCAATCAAATGTGTCTGTAGATGATGTTTTTTGTTTTAAGAAAATGAACTTCACTGAATTTGATTTTGTCCCATAAGCCTTCAGTTGCATCAGGACTTCTTTTATGAAGTAACAGATCTATAGCCTTGTTAAGAAGATGGCGACTTTTTATGCTGGAAATAGCTAAGCGAGAGAAAAATATGCTGTGTGTTTTGTTTAAGGGAAGACCTGTGAGTGTAGTGACATTAATTTATCAGTTTGAAAAGCAGGTTCTAAATCAACACTGTTCAAAGACTCTGCTTCTGATATTAAAAAAAATAAACAAAAAAAACCAAAAACAAACCCCCAAACAAACAAAAAACCACAACCCAACACCACAAAACCCCACGACATAGTAATAAAAATAGACTCTTGATTTTAGCTTAGTAATTTGTGCTGCTATTTAACATGTATTGCCTTAGCATTTTCTTTAGTATTTCCATATTGGTGGTTCTTGTTTTCTGTTAAATTGGCACCTTTAAATAAGGAGCTGACCTGTGTCCAGTGCATTTTGCACAAAGATCACAGATAGCAATTGCTCTGTTGTCTTCACTGTTACTACTTAATTAATACTCGATATCTGTGAAGAAATACCATGTGGATTGCTGCTCCAAGTACCAACTGCTGTACGGCTACTAAAGTAAATGTGAGTCATCTACTATGGCAGAAATAGCTTTAGAAATTTGATTCGATTGGGCCTGGTGTCTTAAATTGAAATGGGATTACTTCTAGTCCGTGATGGACAGTCAGCTCTCTGTACTGTTTATTCATACTCGTATCTATCAGTGAAGATTTGTATTTAAAACTTTCTTGAAAATGAAGAGTTAAATCAAGCTTTAAATAAATGTTCTGTTGTGTCCCAGTGCAGCATATGAAATTTCATCCCTTTAGATAAGATTTCCAGGGACTTCCTCTTGCAGTTAGTCAGAATGTATACTGGTAACCATTGACACTTGGTTTAAGTTTATGCTGTCTTGTATTATAAGTAACTTACGTGTAGTGAGGGTACTGCTTTATTGGTAAGCGTTCTTCCTGTTTATTTTTTATTTTCTAGGTTTTACATCTGTGAAAACACAGTCCTCTCCATCTGCACAGCCTGTTACAAGCACAGAGGTCTATACAAGGCCTGCAATAAGTAGTTTTTCTGCAGGTAAAGACACCTCTAAACAAGCATCCTCATTTTGGCAGTCTGACACACATGACCCCTGTCTGCAAAACAAAACCACAGACAGCAAATGTGTAACGTGTGAAGCTGCTAAAGTGTCAACAGTTGAGAGTCCAAAACAGACGATAAGCTCAAGTCAGTGTGTCGCCACCAAGGCAGCAGTCCCTCCAGCAGGGACATTGGGCTTTGAAGACAAATTTAAACCAGCACCTAACGCATGGGATTGTGATACCTGTCTGGTCCAGAACAAACCTGAAGCTACAAAATGTATCGCATGTGAGACACCAAAGCCTGGAACAGGAGTAATGCCTGCTCTGACATTGCCAGCGGTCACGGACAGCTTGGTGACAGTGACATCCTCCTCCAGCAGCACTGACACAACAAGCTCTCTGGGGTTTGGAGACAGATTTAAGAAGCCAAAAGGCTCTTGGGACTGTACAGTGTGCCTTGTATCAAATAAGGCAGAAGACAGCAAATGTGTAGCTTGTCAGTCTGAGAAACCAGGTGTGTTGTTCTTTTTTCTGTTGTTTCAATCTCAGCCTCTGTGCATTCTTTACAGAATAAATATGGTGCATATAAAGAATACTTTCAGCAAGCATGGCTGTATGCCAGACAGGATGGATTAGTGCCTGTCTGCAGGAATGGTTACAGGCACTTTTGAGGTCACAGCCCAGATTCCAGCCTGTCAGGTGAATTGAACTTACCATGAAACGTGTTAGTGCAGAGCTGAATTGAAGCAAATACACCCTGCTTTACACCTGGTGAGGAAAGATGACTAAACTGGATGCCTTAATTAACTTAAAATCAGTTTACTCATTTTCACTGGGGGAAAAATGTGAACGCCATAGAAAGAGTTAAAAATTACTGGTATTTTTCTGTTTCACAACACAAGTAGAAACAGTACTCACAGAACATGGCCAAAAATGTCTCCACTCAGCATTTCTGTGTAACTGAGCAGAGGTATGAAGGCAGATTTCAAGACAGTGTAGCCTTTAGCTAGTCATCTTAAGCTGAAACAAAACGGTGTGTTCAGCTCTGCCCATGAAGGCCAGTGGTAGCCTTCCAAATCATGGGTGATCTTGTTCTGGAAGGTCAAGGGCCTTCCAGGCCTTGAGGAGGTGGGTGCTTTCTTCATTTCAGCAACGAGTTGTTTCCCATTAGGTGTGATTGTAATTGATTTTTATTGTGGTGAGTGCATTGTTCTTAAAGCACAAATAATTATTTTAGAGTTAATTTTCATAATTTAATATACTGTTATGTCAAAAAACACCTTTGCAAATATAATGGGGGGGGGGGAATCCAGGATGGACTAGGTTGGGTTTTTTAATCATCCTGTACAAGAAGAGTGAAATTTCTTCAGATAAGATAATGCATTTCAGAGAGAGCTTATTCTCATGGACTTTCAGCATCTGAGTGATCAGCTGGCACTTTTCTGAGACTCTAGCCATTGCAAGGAGGAATTTTGGAGACGTGAGAGGTTTGCCATGATGATCATGGTGCAGAGAATTGCACAGTTGTATTACATCTGTCAAAGGAAAGAATAAGGGAAGTAAAATGGGAGGTTAGAAATTCTCTGGATGTGCTGTGGGAGAGAAAGCCCATTCCTGTCTTTGCTGTTTTGAATTTAAGACGTGATCTTCTGCCTCTTTCTTAAATGCCACCCTCAGTGGTTTAAAACTGTAGGCAGACATGACAATTACGTGATGCTTTTGTGCCTTCTGGATGTTCACTTCAGTCGTCACACTTACGGAGTCTCCTGAGGTGCGGCCTCAAGTGACATCTCTTCCTTTACAGGGGACAAAAGTCAGAAGGCAAGCGTCGTCTTTCGGGCCTCTTTATGGAGGCATCTGCTGCTGTTGAAGACAGTGTAGCTTGTGTAATGAACACAGAGTTGTGGGTTTGGAAGCTCTGAGTTCCTCTGTTTTTTGGATGGAGGGGGTTGTTGCTATGTAGTTTTGAGCATGTCTGTCTTTGGGATTTGGTGATGAATCATTCTGGTACATTCTCAGCCTTGCATCATTTGGCAGTGACCACGAACTTCAGTGGTGCTAACTTTGACTGTGAACCCATAGGGACTTGTGTCACCAGAAATTCTTTTAGTTGTTTTAGCTGAGTACAGTACCTTTAATTTACATCTGAAATATACTGTGCTGCTGTATTGTATGAATGGGAGTTGCTCTTAAAATGTCATTGCTTCAATTTGTTCTTAAAATCATACATTGATTATAAAGAATAATCTAGGTGTTTACATTTTGAGATTGAGTTTGACTGAAATTAACTTGATGTTTGATTTCTTTGTTTTTACTGTTACGCTGTCTGGTTTGTAATTGAGCGCTTAAGAGTTTCTTAAAAAGTTCACCTTTGCTTTATCATTTCAGCAGGATGATTAACTGTCTTGCTTATTTCTCAGGGAGTTCAGTGCCTGTGACCAGTAGCAGTGCTTCTGCATTTTCTGCTGCTTCTGGAGGATTTCTGAATTTAGACAAATTCAAGAAGCCTGAAGGAAGCTGGGATTGTGACGTCTGCTTGGTCCAAAACAAAGCAGAAGCCACAAAATGCGTAGCCTGTGAAAGTGCAAAGCCAGGCACCAAAGCAGAGCTCAAAGGTAGGATTCAATGAGAAAAACAAGGGTGTGAATTCTGCAGTTTTGTTTAAGTATAGTTATTTTTATGGCAAAATTGTTCCTTTTTCTTCTATGGATATTGCTGAAGTAAGGTAATGTGTCTATGTTTCCACATCCTTTTCCCAGAAAAAGATTATGCTTTTTAGAGAAAAGCTTGTATTAATTACATAGTTGTTCTTTACGAGCCTTATGTGTTGTTCATTTGGAGATTAAACAGAAAGCATGACTTTTCAAAGAAGCTGGCAGTATACTTCTCAAAGCCAGGTGGTGGATAGAGGAATACTGTTGTGAAAAGATGGATGTACAGAGGAAGTGCGGAGTTTTCTTTCTTGTTTTGTGGTTTGAGGGTTTTGGTTTTGTTTTGTTTTGGGTTTTTTTGTTTCTTTTCTTTTTATTGGTTTTGGGGTTTTTGTTTCTTTTTAACAGTGTTGACTAGGGGAAGTTCAGGACTAGAATCCTAGCCATGCAGCTAAAGCCTGCATGTAGTACATCATATATTGCAAACTTAACATTATTACTTATTTATGCAGGTTTCGGTACTGCTGCTGTGTCCACAAATGCTGCAATGCCATCATTTACATTTGGTGTCCAGTCGTCGTCCTCTGAATCTTCTCATACGTTAGGTAGCACAGGAAATTTTAAATTTGGAGAACAAGGGAGCTTCAAGTTCGGTGTTGTATCTGAATCTGCATCCTCCAATGCTGTGACTGGGGGATTTAAGTTTCCTACTGGTTCAGGGGACTTCAAATTTGGAGTTTCTTCCTCAGACTCTAAATCAGAGGACAGTAAAAAAGAAGGTAAAAGTAACAGTTTTACCTTTGGGCTTCCATCTACAAGCACTCAGGCTCCTTCAACGTTTCAGTTTGGTACAGCGAGCCTGGGACAGCAGGAAAAGAAAGAGGAACCAGTTTTGGGAGGCTTTGGTTTTGGCACAAGTTCTACTTCTTCCATAGCTACCAATGAGAATAAAACCGGAGCCAGTGGCTTCACTTTTGGAACTGTGGCAGAAAAGGAGATGCCGTCACCTGCTCTTACATTTAAGAAGTCAGATGAGAAAAAGGATGAACCTCTTCCAACAAAGGGAGGCTTCTCTTTTGGCAGCGTGGAGTCCGCACCTGCCTCACAGTTTGTTTTGGGAAGGACAGAAGAGAAACAGGACTCTGTCACTTCTGCTGCTCTGTTAGCATTTGGAAAGAAAGCTGACAACGAAGAGTTAAAGGCACAACCTGTCTTTTCAGCTGGGACGGCTGAGCATACCAAAGAGGAGAGTACAGCAAAACCTATGTTCAATTTTAGTTTTGTTAAACCATCGGAGAAGGAAACTGAGCACGCGAAGCCGTCTTTTACATTTGGGGCACAAACCAGTACTGCAGGTAACCGGAACATCTTTTGTCTTCACTTGTCTGCTCGTGTCCATCAAATAGTACCTTCGAAGCCATACTGGACTAAATCCGTGGGATTTGATATAGTCATGCATTAGAGCTTGAGAAAAGGCTTAATTACTACCTGCAGACTGTCTTTAGTTCTTCTTGGTATGTAGACAACATGTAGAAAGTTTCGGGTCAAGATTTCAGTGACTTTGAAACGCTAGGTTTAGACAAAAATGTCACCACACCTTAAGGAACCTGTACTGCTTCTTGTAATGAACACAGAAGTTGTGTTGTCTTAGTGGCAGTGGCACTGGCAATTAAACAGTTAGTGATAAAATCTGTAGTACGGTGCAGCATAGAGGCCCCTTGTTTTTCATAGTGAAAGGTGATGAGAGAGGAAATATCTTATTCCCATGTACTTGCAGCTATGCTGCAGGGTGTACTGCTGTTTCTCTACTGCTACGAAGGTCTAAAAATAACTTCATAGATATTACAGAGTTTGATATTCCTTTAATTTGTTGAAAGTCTGCAGTGGAGGATTAAAGTTCTTCAGCAGTGATCACTATGTGGAAAAATTCTGGTTGTTAAATTCCATTTGTACGACTTAGCAACTGTGTTTTAGAGAGCAGAATTAGTTTCTAACTTCTGATGCCACGTGGAAAAGGGCATTGGTAAGTAACCCTGAATAAAAGCAATACATAGGCTTATACTGGTTTTAATCATAGTATCCTTAGGCTGAGCTGCTGCTGAACAGGCGTTTGGACGACTGTGGGCTCTGGGGGAGGAGAAACGGTTGAGTGGGTGGGTTGGGGGGGAGTTGTGGTTGGTGAGATGGGGCCATAACTGCTGGAAAAATGGTAATGAAATGTTGAAAACAAGGTCACAAATTAATAGTGAGAATTAGACCAGCAGCTTAGGGGAGGCTGAAGAATTACTTACTTTAAAAGATAGCCCTATTTTAAGTCCGTAGAACTGCGTTTGGTACTTGATAACAATGGTCTTAATGGAGGGTGGTTCTCTGTTGCTCCAAAAGCAGGTCTTGCAGGTCCTTAAGTACAGTGAACTCAATCTTGGAGGACTTAGGCTGGAGGATGTAAACTTTGCTTGACTTACAGCCTTGTGCCTAAAGCTTTATTTTCAGACAAGCAACAAACAAAATTGTATCGTTGTGTTTTTCAGTACTCCATTGAGCAAAGCCATAAAACTGTTAGAGGTGATTGATGTTGTTCTTCTAAGAACATCTGAAATACATTTTTGTTTGAAGAGTTCAGAAGTACTGGTTAATACTGGTTCAGGTAATGCCAGCCAATGCTTAGTGTTTGTAACCAGTGAAGCCTCAACTGCAGTGGCGTCCTTGTTCTTCACAGTTCTTCCATTCCTTTAATTGTGGATGGCAGCAATCAGCATTTTAAATCCACATCTTGTGTAAGTGACAGTAGCTGGGGTAGCAGTTGAGGTGTCATTCAGGATTCCTCTTTGTACGATGAAGAAAACAGGAGCTTATTTGGCGTATGACAAGGTGACCCGCCTTCTGGACGAG